TATATATATATATTTGTCTAAAGACGAATCTTGATTATGGGCCGGTGACAATGAATCAATGTTTTGGGACGACGCGGAGAAGGTCCAAAAAGGCAGTACACCACAAACGGACGACCCGAAGAACACAACAACCCTTTTACTTTCTTTCTCTCTCTACCTTCTAGTTCTACGCTCTCTCTCTCTCTCTCTACAGTATTTATCACTCTAAACCAATATAAATCAACATAAAATAGAGAAAATACAAAGAAAGTTGTTCTCTTTGCCCATTTCCTCCATCTAATTGCATCGTCATTGTTTTCATCTTTTCTTCATATACTGACGATCTTGAGGTGGGTTTGGTCTGTTTGTCAATGGAACTGGTTTAGATAACGCAGGTGCGTGTTCTTCTTTTGGTTTTGGTTCTGGTTCCTGGGTCGTCTTCAGAATTTTGGGTCTATTTTTTTCTGTTCTGGAAATGTTATAATCCGATGATAATTTGGTGACCCATGAACGAATTTCCTCATTTTTTGTACAGAGGAATCTGAAAAATACAATCTTTTATAGGAGACTTGGTTCGATCATGGCGGTTGCAGAGAATGCTGGGACGAAAATTGAGTCGTCTGGTCAGAATTTGGAAAACACTGTAGTATCGTCTGAGGGGAATGCGCAGAAGGATCTAGAAAAATCTAAGCCGGGGAGTGATTCAATTGTGAAGAGTAAAGAAGGGAGCTTTCAAGGGTCAGAAAACGATCAAAACTCCAACACAAAGTATCAGCAACAAGAGAGAGTGGCAGCTACCGTGAATACCAGCAATGGGAAGACTCAGGTGTTAAATGGGAATGACAAGAATCAGCTTGGGGTGCCAAAATCTGGTGGATTTAATGGGACTAATCAGAGGTCTAATGGTGTCGGAAATTTGGAAAATGGGGGCGATCAGGATTTCAAGAATGATATGAGAGATTTGGTTGAGATTTTATCCAAGCTAAACCCCATGGCTGAGGAATTTGTGCCCCCGTCGGTTGCCAGCCAGCAGTTTCATCATCTTGTTAATGATAACCATTATCAAAATCTAAACAATAGCCTTTTGGGAAATGGGTTTGGGTATGCTAACAACTTTGCAGTGCACACTAATTCTGGCAATGGTAATGGACATACTAATAGAAGGGTATGTGTGGTTCTCACTGTTACTGCTTTTTTTTTTATTTTATTTTATTTTAATAACGAAATATGCAGGCTAAGTTTGTCTACCTTTTCCATCAATTTTCTGCTGAGAGAATGAAGGAACGAACAGTCCGAGGTTTTGCATTTTGTTTATTATATTCCACTGTCTTGGTTTCTGGAAAATGGGTAGAGTGCATGCTGAAAGATGGGATGTTCGTCTTTGGAACGTATCTTCAGTGTCTTTTCCAGCATTTCCTCTGACTAGATGGAGCATGCTTTATATTTTCATGGAATTAATCATTATTCTATGCTGTTTGCTTTCCTTTTACTCAGAGGAGAAATGGTTATAGCCAAGGGAGGCGAAGGATGAACGGTAGAACAAGCCTGGCACAGCGAGAGGAGACCATTAGGAAGACTGTTTATGTATCAGACATTGACCACCAGGTAACATGTATTATGATTACTGGATGGTCTCATTTTTACTTGTATTCATAGTTGTGTCTTAGGTTTGCTTTGCTTATGCACTGATATTTGAGTTGTTTTCTCTATTCTCTGTTCTAGGTTACTGAGGAACAACTTGCTGGTCTCTTTCTTAGTTGTGGACAGGTGCTTGGGTTTTCTCTCTGTACCTTTTCAATGATTAGTTTGGTGGATGTTTCTCCTTAATAATTTTGTGGTTATTTGAGCGGTAGGTTGTTGATTGTCGTATATGTGGTGATCCAAACTCCGTTCTCCGATTTGCCTTCATTGAGTTTTATGATGAAGGTATTAGAAAATCTTCTACCTTTTTGATATGCATTCATATTAAGCTCTTATACCAAAGATGACAACAAATTGTTCTTGTAGAGAGTGCAAGGGCTGCTCTGAGTCTGTCTGGTACTATGCTTGGATATTACCCTGTAAGAGTGCTGCCTTCTAAAACTGCAATTGCTCCTGTTAACCCAACTTTCCTGCCAAGGGTAAGGCTTAGTGTGTGATTAAGGATCTTTATTTCTGATTAAACTTAGCAACTGAGTCAGAGTTCTGCATGGTTTGAGTTTTATTTTTCATACTTGTGAATGTAATGTTACGATACGTGGTCTTCAGTCTGAAGATGAACGTGAGATGTGTTCGAGAACTATATATTGTACAAACATTGACAAGAAGGTTACCCAAGCAGATGTCAAGCTCTTCTTTGAAACGATCTGTGGGGAGGTCTGGAGTTTCTTATATGGATAACCTGAAAATGCTGTTTTCTCCATTAAGTTGATTCCTTACTTGAAATTTTTGTTATATATAGGTCCAACGCTTGAGGCTACTTGGAGATTATCAGCATTCAACTCGCATTGCTTTTGTTGAGTTTACAATGGTAACTGCCCATGCTGTATTGTGATGTGTTGAAACGTTTGGTGCTATACAATCTTGCAGCAGCATAGAAAGCTCTATGCCTCTCTCTCTTTACTTTAGAATCTTTGTGCTATAATGTTCTCTACCTATTCTTTTCTTCTGTCTTGCTTACTTTAAGCACTTTCTTGGGTCAAATATGCAAATTTCGTTTTTGCATTTCAATCTTTGCAAAGTTGTATTTTTCAGTTATAATGAGATTGAAGGCCAAAAAATAAAAAAAGTTATCATGAGATTTTTCTTCTTTCTTATCCAATTCTAGTTATATTTCCTTGCTGCTGGCACTTTATCTCCCACTTGAACTACTGTTTCTTACTGGGGCTCTGATTTGTTATTTACTTGGTGATATAAAAAAGACTGCATCCATAGTAATTATTTAGTTTTACTTTTTATTATAAAATTTTTCAGTCCATTAATTTTTCAAGCATCTGTTCTATGGATGAAAGACGTGATGTCATCAAAGGAGTGTAAAAGGATCTTGATACTTTAAGGGGAGGTTTTGCAAAGATATTATTATGAACTAGAATGTTGTTGCCAGTTGGATAAAGGGAAAAAAAAGGGGTTTCTGTGTGCTTTGTCAACTTGCATTATTAAGGCTTCGAAACTTGTTAAAGGATGTTATGTACTGCTAATGCAGAATTTTTCAAATTTCAGTGCTGGGCAGAAAAGAAATGATAAGGTTAGCCCTAGAGACAGGATAAAGAACTATAGCACTATATGTATCAGACTTAGTTATATGCAATATACTGGAGCAATTTTTGGCTAGAGTAAAGCCAACCACAAATGCTTCAAATCTGCTTTGAGTGAAGTCAGTCACTTTAGTTGTCATTAGGACTATTTGTCTGTGCACTTTTGCTTATGGTTTTTCTTACCCATATATATTCATATCAGTGTAGCTATTTTTTCTTCTTTATTAGAAACACTTAAACTGGCCATTTATTTATTTGAGAACAGTACTAATTTTAAATCCTTAGTTGTCAACTGTGCTATATTTATCTTTATTTAAAAAGGATTCAATTAATTTATTCCTCCACAATTATGAGAAATGATTATGCATTTGTTTCCTTTTCCTTTTTTGTTTGGTGCCTGTAGTTGGGTAGCTCTTTTTGTGTTTTATGACACATCATTCAAGAACTCATTGTTTTCATGGTTGAATGAATACCAGAAGTACATGATTCTCTTTAGTTGAAACTGTTCCACAGTCATATGATCATGCATTAAAGTGAAAAGAAAAATAAAATTATCTTTCACTTTTAGCTGGATGTTATTTTCTGAATCTATGTATCTTGCTGGTTTAGCAGGGTACTCATCTAACTTTTAAACATGATCTAATGAAATGAAACTGCCTGATGCAATGCCTCCTTACTTCCATCTTTCACTTCTCTTTAGGATTGAAGGATAAATAAGCTTGGGGTTTTGCCCTCTTTTTGTGTTTGTTGTCTGTTTCTTCTGCTCTTTTAAGTTTCCAATTGCCAAAACTGGTTTTTTTGTTTTTATTTATTTATTTTTTAATTTTTTATTCTGTTTAATTATCTCATAGGCAGGCACTTCATCTGTTCTCTGTTTCTTGAGTTCTTTGTTGGTTACACTTGTCATGTTAGCATCTCTCCACAAGTAAATGCTCTTGCATAGTTGTGTTTGATAATTTGGGGATTTCATGCTGTTTGTGGTTATAGTTGTGCCTTATTTTATTGCTGCTTTTTTTATTTGTCCTTCTCATGGAGAAAATGTCCAAAATCTTGATATCCCTTTAAAATTTTAAAATCTAAATGCTTATGTATAGTGATGCAAAGAAGTATATCTATTATTAGCGTACTCATGATGATTGTTGGGTGATTATATTGCAATTTGTGTGACAAAATATTTATACTTATTTGTAAACTGACCAATTCTCTTGGCAATATCTAGAGTAATCTAAGTTGTGTTTTTCACTCTTGCAGGCTGAGAGTGCAATAGCTGCTCTTAATTGTAGTGGTGCAATTCTAGGATCACTGCCAATAAGGTGGTTATGTCAATATTTCCTATTAGTAGATATCTTGTCATTCTCATTTGCTTCAAATTATCATTTCCAAATTTACCAAATAACCTATTTGTTGTGCATGTAGGGTAAGCCCATCAAAGACTCCTGTTCGTCCCCGTGCTCCGCGCCCTGTGATGCACCGAACCTGAACCATCGTTGGATGTTTTTCTCCCTCCTGGACTGATCAACTGCTGATATATATATTTACACATACATACATAGATACAAGAGTATATTTAAGGTACCTGTGAGGTTTATGTTTATCATGTTGCCCTTGCATCTCAAGCTTGGTATCTTTGTTACTTGAAGGGGTTAATTCTGGTTGGTCTATTAAGCTTGTAGAAGAGTTGGATGGGATTTCAAGGATGTGACTTTTTAATTTATCTTGCACAGGACAGTGTAGTGAACTCTTTAGCATCGATCCCCAAAGACTGATCTTTGGGCTTTTCCTAACAACTGATGAGCTTAAAAAACTATTTCCATATGGACTCTTCATGGTTTTCTGTTATTGCATTCCAAATTTTGCAGCTTTATCTATCTTTTCAGATATCATGTACAACTGGATGGTTAACTTGTGCTCTTCAATTGGTATATACTTAATTGAATAGTTTGATTACTCTTATTAGGTTCATATGTGATTGGATATAACCCTGATCTTTGTATGACTACCCCCTTATGAGATTTTATGGTTTTCGCCTCTTGTGATCTACTATGCATTGAATGTATGTATAGTACTCAGGCTGTTCTAAGAATCAGCCAATACTAGCAAGAATATATCAAACTCCGTGGATATTGTTGAGTGGGGAGCGGGGACCATATAGGTTCTTGTTGGTCAATTTAAGGCACAAATTTTGAGTGTAGGGTTTTAATCTCTTGTACATGAATAGGCTACAATTTGGGGGCGAGATCTTGACACTTGAGTTCCATGGATTGTCTACATATGTTGAAACAAAAGCACTTTTTAGAAGAGCAAGAGTGCGAGGCATGTGTTAAGGGCATGTTTTGTATGGTTTTATTTTAGCTGTTGAAACTCGAGTTGTTAGTAGATACGCTGATAGTTGACAGTCTTCATGCGTATGATGCATGAGGCATAAGTTAATCTCAAATTAAGGGCATCAGTTTGAGTGAATGATGCGAACTGCGGGGTTTAGTTTCTACTCCTGGGATTGCTTCTTCTAACTTGTCTTTTTGGTAAATAAACTGCTTTAACTATAATAGAATTGTTCAGAATTAGGAAGCAAGTAGTGCATGATTTTGGTCCTTTCTGCCTCAGTTTCTTGGATTCCCAACAAACCCCTGATGAATCAGGGCATAAGGAAAAAGAAGGATAGAAAGGAATGCACAAGCCAAAGGATGGAATCGAATGAGGGTAATGTACGTATCTTCTTTACAACAGAATGTACTCACCAACCTAAAGTTTCTTAATTGGAAAAAGTGTTGGGCGGCTCGTTTTAAATTGCATCATATTAGATAACAAAAGCCATTTTTAATTGGAATAAGTGTTGTGTGGCCTAATTTAGATTGCATTAGATTAGATAACAAAAGTCATTTTTAAATGAAAAATGTGTTGTGTGGCCTTATTTAGATTGCATCAGACTCAATAACATAAGCCGTCGGATAGGGACGGACAAGGATGTGTTCCACAATTTGATAATTTCTGTTTTGAATATGAATTATAAAACATTGATCTCTAATAATTTGTAATCAATGGGTATGAGCATGTGATTAAAATATACTGCAAGAAGGAAAAAAATATAAGAATCCGGAAAATCCGGCAAACCTGGCTACCCAAGATCAAAATTATAATGTGATAAAATTTTATCGGGATATATTTCATGTGAGAAAGAATATATTACAATCTCTGGGAAAAAAATTGTCAAAAGATAAATGCATCATCTTACATTATGGAAATGTAACCTATTCTGCTGCTGTCCATTATCTATTCTCTGTACTCTGTTGTATCCCTTTTGATTGTTTCTACTGACCCTTGTAATAAAATGGTATACATATGTTTATTTCACAAGGAAGGAAGAGATTAGGCTGCTGAACTCTCCCGAGGGTTGGTTCCTGGCAATACTGCTGCTACCGGCATCTGTCCCACTGTAATGCATAACAACAGATGTTGTGAGATGAAGTTTTCTTAATGGAAACAATGCAAAATACAAAGAACACACAATACAACTTCAGATGCTCAACTAGTAACAGGGAATGATGGAGAAGAAACTGAAGCCGGAAAGGTCCCCAGAGCACCATATTGCTGAGGCCAAAATGGGTACTGCACAACTTTTGGGTACTGAGTTGGGCTGTTCTGTGCCTCCTGAGGATAGAACGGATAGTAATTCAAGTAAACTCCTGATCCTCCTCTGTTGTGAGATGGAGGCTGCTGCCCCCCATAAACAGTATAATAATTCTGGAAAAAAAAACCAATTTCAAAACAAGAATTGTTAGAACAATAGCTTGTACGAATCAGACAGTTCAGATTAAATTCAGAACTTTCTAACCATCGCATATTGGTCCTGCACTGTGTATCCTGCTGGTGCTGGATAGCTGCAGGGAGAAGTGAGATCAGAAGAAACAGGTACTTAGGAAAACGAAACCCTGAAAGAAGTTCACTTGATCTACCTACCCATGTGCAGCAGCAGTGTAAGGAAACCCATATGGGGGGATCGGTTGCCGGAAAATTGGACTGGATGATGCCGGAGATCTTGTCCATGGCTGCCATTTCTCCATTCCTAACATATCATAAATATAAGATCAAACCCAATTTGAACCAAAATTAAGTACATAACATAAAACTTCAGCAAAAGATTACCATATTGGGGAGGATTCAAATTAATTGGACGATTCTTAGCTCCAAGACATGCAAGATTGCAGTTTGCCCTTCTTCCATCGATCACCGGATAGGGAATCTGACAAGCTTTTCTCGCCGAATCGGCATCCTTAAAAGTTACCTAGGATCCCGTCAATCAAATCAAACATAAAAATTACCAAACATGAGAAAGAAAATTGAAGCTGTTCCGGGAAGACAAGAAAGGAGCGTACAAAACCATAGCCTTTTGATCTTCCTGAGCTTTTATCAGCTATCACAACAGCCTCAAGAGTCTCTCCAAACTGCTGGAAATAACGTTTGAGGGAATCAGATTTTGTTTCCCATGCCAACCCTCCAACAAATATCTTGGTGTAGGTAGTGTCACCAAACTCTGCAGTATTGTTCTTCTCACCCAACATCGTACGTAATTCAGACATAAAAACAAACATACACTGTCCGAACACAGCAGAGTAAAGAGCAGAACAGAGCACCTAGAAAGCTAGAACAGAACAGAAAAGAACAGAACACCTAAAAGCTGGAAATACCCTGTAAAAGGGAAGACAAAGGGATAAAGAGCCGTTACCCTAAGACAAAAACTTCAATTAATATGTTTTGTTTTTCAATCCCAACTTACCATAGATTCCCCAAACAAAGATACCCTAAACAAGAATTTAAATTATTAAGGGGTTTGAAAAATTGGGAGGAAAAGAAAAGAAAAAGCCTAGTAATTATTGAAGATAAAAAACAGTGGGAGAAGGAGATTTGGAGTGGAAAGAAAGGGAAATTCAAGAATTTTTCCTTAGGGTTTGTGTTATTATTTGGTATGAAATTATGAACAGTAACTATGGTTGGTTTTTAGTGGGTACAAAGATACGTGCCTTACTGTCTTCAACTTTCTGTCTTCATCTTTCTTTCTTAATCGGTTGCAGATTTATTTATAGATATATTTGTTTTCGGACATTATTAAATTATTGATACATTTTCGCGTGACATTTCATGTTGATCTTCATTCTGTGGCTTCTTTTACCATCTATACCATCTATAGATTCATTGATTCAACAACTTCTGCCATGTTATTAATCACTATTATTCTGCCACAAATGCAGTAGATACTACAATTCGAGTGTTTAGTAACATTGTTATTGTCAAATTTTTTGTGTTTTGTTACTAAAATTTAAATAATCAAGATTGATAATTAAAAATCAAAATTAAAAATAGATTTTAACTACTTGTTAATTACTCTTTTCCTTCACTAATAATAATCATAGTTTGATTTTTTAATTTTTAGATAAAAAGTTTGTGTAAAAATTTAACATAACAAATAAATGATAATTAAATATTTTGTTTTTCCTATATATATTTCTTCTTTAGTAATTTGACTTGGTCAAATAAATTTTTTCAATTGCCATTCACATGATAATATGATACGTTAAATTTTTATTTAAATTTTTTCATTTAAAAATTAAAAAGATCAAACTAGCACTTCTATTATTGGAGATTTCATATCAATCTTTCAAAATTTTTCTAATTAATGATATAATCTTTTTTTACTAATTAAACTACCACCTTTCAAAAATTTCTAATCATGTGCATGACTTTTGCAATTTTACTAATTAAACCTTCCAACATTTTCTAATTAAGGATATAATTGTGCATATCCACTTAATCCTTTTTTATTGAAATTGCAAATATCATATTCTCAATTAAAAACTTTTAAGATGTGATAATTTTAATTAGTAAGAAAAAATGTTATATTTTTAATTAGAAAAATTTTAAAATATTATATTTTTATTCGTATGAAATCTCTATGGAATAGAGTGAGTACAAATTTTAAAATTTGATAACCAAAATTAATTTTTTAAGTTCTTAGTTTCTAAATTTTAATTTAGTATGTGCAATTTTTCAAAAATGAAAACAAAAAACCAACAATGGTAATGTTATTA